GGGGTCAATGTTGGGTGCCGAAAGAAAATTGAGGATTGAATTGCTCCTGGCTCGTCTTGACTCGGTGGTACTTGGACGTAGAACAATATTTACCGGTGTTGTGTTGGTTTTGATTTTCATCATCTGCCGAACCAGGTTGCGAGCTAGAAGGGCTTTTAACGCCGTCTGCTGAACACACAGAGGGTTATCGACATACGAATGCCAAAGCCGTGTTGATCACAGTGCTTCCTCCTCCGGCATTGCCACCCCTGTGTATGCCGAAAACCGGACAAAAAATGAATGATATGGCACCAGGTCTAGCTAGAACAGGTGGTATTTGCAAAAGGCATCGCCACACCCTTCATTTCTGAGCAAGGAAGGAAAGAATAAAGAACGTATTACTGCTACCTGCATCTAAAGCTCACTCCTCCATCCCTACTTACGTCATTGCCTATCGATTGGCAAGTCTAGAGAAGTACTCGTTGTAAATGGCCTGGTTTAGCATCTTTGGCGTGGATCCGACAGGCATTGTATGGAATGGGGCTGCCTTCCAGGCAGAGATAAGCACACGCATTTCCAATTCTCCCATGCATTGCCCCAAGTAGCTTGTTTTCGGTCTCAGCCGCTTTCTTCTCGCTTTTTTCCTCCATCGCAAACACCGTTTGTGAGTCTTTTCAAGAGGAGTTGGCAGACCCTGCGAAATCAGATTGCTCAATCGTCTTACCTGCTATATACCGGAGATCACCATGAACAGGCGTTCGTCATAATATGCATACAAGCCTAGTCCTAGCTGAAGCTATTTTTTTTGCTATAACGGAAACCATCTGTGTGACCCCCCCCCCCCCCCCGTGTGGCGGTCTTTAAACCGTCTGTGCCAGCCCTTAGTAAGCGGTTGGTACGGTGTTCTACCGCGGGTAGTAGCTCTATGGAGCATTTCATTGATCTTTTTGGCTTGCTCTAAGTCTCGAGCTGCGCCAACAGGGAAACCCTCACGCTGCATTGCCGCAATTGTGGTGGAGTGGGGTTCGCAAAATCACGTTGCGATCCACTCGGACACACAGTGCCCTGGACTGCCGACTGACGGAGGGGGTACTCCGATAACCGTGGGGTTGCTGAGGGCT